CTGTTTGCTGAAGACACGGGGTTTTCATTCTTATCTCAAACACGTTGCAATGCCAGAACGTGCCCCTTCTTAAGGCTGTGTTCTCAAATAACTATTGTACCACATTTCAACACCATTAGACTTGTTCTCTGAAAAATCTTCTAGAATGTCACAGAAAGGAGTCTTTTTTTTTTTTTTTAAACTGAAAGATAATGTCTGAAATGTTAAAAGGGACGCATAATACCAAGAGTGTATTTGCCAAGGAAGCTGGCTGATTTATTTGAATATTTGCACAGCTTTTGCAGCAAATCTCTTTCACTGCTTCTTCTGCATTTTCAGGAAAAACAAAACAAAAAAAGTATTTCAGCAGGATGCAAATGGAGCAAACAATACCAGCCCCAAGGTAATAGGGAATAACAAAAAGCTTTAAAATACATATACACAGTAAGAACAGAAATCAACTTTTTTTTTTTTTAAATGAGTGAGGGAATAATTTTGTGCCATTATGGATCTTACTGCAACAGAGTTAGAATAAAACAACACAATGTAGAATGTCACGTGGCCCACCATCAGTAAAATAAATAAATAAATAAATAAATAGATAACAGCACGTACCTTTCTGTTGAAGATCTTAACAGTGTGCTAAAAGTTCAAAGATACACCACGAAGTGAACTTCGGTCCACATCCCATAAAGTCATCTTACTGCCCACATTACAAACTATCACAATTAATCAGTAAGGGTTTGGCACTTCCCCCCACCAATCTGAGCAGGGGACAGCACATCCTAACGCCTGCAACAACTAGAAGGTGTATGTGTATATGTATCTGTGCCTGGGTATTTCTCCCCACAGCACATTTCTTTGTGCAACAGCCTGGGTGTTACATCTCCACACCAAGGTCCTCCCAGCATGCTGGAAGTACTATCCAGATTAAAGACAAATATTTCAAATGGCTTGGAGCCTGCATTTCCAGAACAGTCAAATGGACAGAAAGGATTTCAGCCTGGAAAATCCCAGAGAATGAAACTGGGAATGAACCTGAGTCTAAATAAACCTGGAAATGAGATGTATTCAAGCCCCCTCATGCACACACACACCTTTGCCCATACCTCATAAGGCATACCCCTCACCTCAGACGGATACTTGTGAGGAGAGAGAGCAAGAAGGGTGAAAAGCCTCAAAGCATCCTGTCCTGCCCTATTTTAAATCACTTTTTCAGTTGGAAATGTCAAATTGCCCATTTCCACCTAATTCTAGAAAAAGCCATGGGAAAGGCATCAGAGAGAACAACTTATTTGCTCCACCTTCTTCTCAGACAGAAGCAGCCAGCCCTCCTGGGCAGGCTTTGCTGAGACAGAATTGAGATTATACCTGTAGGCTGTCCCTTCCTCCAAAGCCTTTCCTGTAAACACAGCTTTTTGTTTGCTTGTTTTTATTATTATTTTCAGCATTATAGCAGGACTTCTGGAGTCAGAATTCAACAGAAGAAAATCACCCACCACAATGTAAAAGTAGAAAACAAATGGATCTACAGTTTAAGTCACATTTTGGTGATCCAGGAAGCTCACTGTAATTCCAAAGACTCTCCTTTGACTCCAGGCAGGTCCCTTACAAGCACAGCCACAAACTAATTCATTCCTAAATTCATGTATTGCAACCTCATGCCATAAGGCCTTGGTGCAGGACTCTGAATGCTGCATTTTTTTTCCACATCGCCTGTGCAATACTTAAGAAGCACGACAAGGCCAGCATGAATTTTGTAGCAGAAGGCATTCACTGAGTGCGTAGTGGGCACGTGCCAGGAGTGCATCAGAAGCCACAGATAGGAGAATGTCCTACCTTACAGCTCCTTATTTCTCTTAGAAGCAAGCAGAGATCATACTGTTGCAGTTCCATGAAAGCAGAGACACTCTGGACCGAAGCAGAACTCCTAGTACTGGAAAGCAAAATTAAAATAAAGACATGAGTTAATGACAAGAATTAACCACCTTCAAGGTTAAGTGACAGCTGAGCAGACATTCAGGATCATCATTTTGGATAGGGCACCCAAATCATCGCAAGGCACCTACCCTCAGCTTGGGCCCTGCTCTTCTACGAAAGCAGGCTAATGCAATTTGCCTGCTTTATGAGACATTGTAGGGATTATAAACATAGTGCTAAGATAATGAAATATCTAGGAAAACCAGGAATTCAGCAAACTGAACATTAGCATGGAACAGGTTGTGTTGGCTCAGATAGAAAATACCCTGCTGGTTAAAGTTACTTCTGCTTTACAATACATTAAAATCTCTCTACACAGCAGCATATAAATTTTAGGACTAATTAATGACTGTTTGCTTCAAGATGTAATACAAAAACTATTATACCAGTTACCCATTATTACAGCAACAGAACTCGAGAAGAAAGCCACAAACAACTCAGCAAACAAAAAAGCTTTTCTCATTGGGCAGTAACTTTCATTATTTCCTCTCTTCACACAGCTGCTTACCACTACTGCCTTATTCTTCACATATCTTTGGCAGGAAGGAAAAAAAAAAAAAAGAAAAAAGAAAAAAAAAGTGAGTTAATAAGAAATGAAATTCCTTTCTCTGAGTTTCTGCCATAAACCCACTGTTACTACTCAGATCAGCAAGGCCTACCTAGGCTGTGCTTTCAGTGTCATTCTGCAGATTCTGAACCTGAGTCAATGGAAGAGAAGAGAGGAGAAGGCAGATTGAGAGGCACTGGTTGAAGAGACACCTCCTGCCTATGCAGTAAAAGCTGCCAATGGAAAAAGAGTTCACCAAGCAGCTCGTGTGCTGTTAGCAGTAGAGCTACATGTGCTCTCAATCACCTGCAGGCCACAAGGCAGCTTGAGATACCCTGTTAGCACTGGGAGACTTCAATCCTCTTTTATCCTAGGCTTAGATACTACAGCCACTGTGGGCCAGCTGTTTTTTATAAAGAAAAAAGAGGTAGCACAGCATCCCTTTAGGAGTACACTTAGCATGACAAGCTCATTTATTCCCAGCAGTTGTTTACTACTCTGTAGCTTTCCTGAAGCTTGAACGTTACTGTGGAAATGGGGGACAAGGGTGGCTGGATTCCTTCCACAGATTAAGTGCAAGACTTGCGTGAGACCTTCAGCAACTCATTTCTCTCCTGCACCTCAGATGCCCTCTACAGAAACCAGAGATACCCGTACGCACAGTGATACCCCGTTATTGACAGAAATAACATGAAATCTCAGCTGGATGAGATTTCTGGGCAGGAATGCCTACAGAGCATCATCCATTTGCAATTTTGCTCATTTTCAGCAAGGCGGTTTCCAGTCTCCCTCGTCCCTAGGAGGATCCAGTCTTCCCCAGAGCTGGGGTGATGTGCTGAAGTCACCAAAGCTGTGACCTTACACTCGGTGCCAGGGTTACGGCTTGCACTGAGTCAGACTGAAAACAAAGTGCTCACAAAGGAGGTAGCTCACCTCACCCAGCCAGATCCTGCCACTCCCCTCACAGTCACTGCAAGACAGATAAATTACACACCTAGAAACAGAACTAGCAGAAACCCAGAAAAAGTCATATTACAAGAGAAACAATATGTATTTATTGTCAACAACTGGAACATATCTGATGCAGACTGGCTGAAATCTTCCCCCTTGTTGGTTCTCTGGTGTTTTGAGAAATGTTAATATTGAGTAACACAAATCAATTAAAAATTCACATACATATATCCTTGGTGAATTTGTTATCATCATTCATTTAAACCCCAAAATCTACATGGCGCTGGTTTTCAACATCACACATCCATGAGGCTCTCCCACCCTCCTGCCTTCAGCTAGAAAGGCAAGTCCATGCCAATCTTCCCCGAACAGGCTCGGCAGTTCCAAGGCAGTGAGCATTTGACACCTGTGGCTACAGAGCCACCACATCCCTGTTTGCTAACTTCACTGAATGCATTTTCTTTCTTTTAAAATATAAAGTCACCTAGATCAGCAATTTCATTTCTTGGGAAGCGTTCCCCATCACCACAGCCCGAGCTGTAAGGAAGCCCTCATCACAGATTATATTTATTACTATTTCATTTGAGCAACTGTGGGTTGGTTACGCAGAGTGGAAGAAGCTCAGCCAGTTCAGGACCCACCAGTAGCTCCACTAGTGCCAGTGCCCACCTGGGAGCCTGCAGGGAGAGGTGCTGCTCACCTGGGGACACAGCTTGCAGCCTGAGGAAGGGTCAGGTTCCTGTACCTGCAGGTGCTGCAGAGCCCCACAAGCCCAGTTTTCACCTTGAGAAGTCTTCCCCTTCTCTGCATGCCCTTTGAGCAGTACCTAAAATCTCAGGGCAGAGAAAAAGGTAACATTTTCTGAAGGTACGGAGAAGTGATCTATTACTCTGTCTATATGTGTGTGTGTATTTCTCACATATATTTGAGTTATTGGGAAACTATTCCTCCTAATAACAATGCTGAGAGGCACACGCATTTCACCAGTCACCTTGCAAGAAAGCACATGCTTTGGATATGGAGGAGCTGGATTTATAGAGTTGTTTTACTTTCACTAAGTTTTTCATGTGTTTCATAAAGCACAACATGGTGTAATTTATTGCTTGTCTAGCAACTTTCATACCAAAATGATTACAAAAATGTTTCACTGCCAATTACAGTTAACCAGGTGGTATCAACCAGCCTCACTCAAAGTCAGCAGAGCTAATGTGCTGGACTCACAAAACTCGGTTCATGGACAGAGGAAAGATCTGAAAGCTCAATTACTTTTCATGGCCTGAAGTCCCACCATCTTCCTTATAATCAAATCCTTCCCAGGAAGGGGGATCTGGAAGCTGAGGAGCTCAACAAACACGGCTTGACAAGAAACCAGTCAGCCAAGCTGGCTCGGAAAAAATGCGTGCCATAGCATTCCCACAAGCAGGATACGGAGATGAAGAAGCAGAAAGCTCTCCTCTACCCTCAGTGTCCTCAAAACGGCAAATATAGAACAGAAGAATGAACGTTGTTAGAGTCATAGGACAAGAGAAATAGGCTGGGGCAACACAGCAGGGAGGTTTTTTTAATGAGCAGGATCATTTATATTTGACTTCGAAAAGAACGGATATGACTATCCTCAGCCCGGCATGGAGATATTTTTATTGCGTGACTTTTACATGAACTTATCTAGCTAGTATTTGGACAGTAAAAATACATTGCAAAGATATATCAGTATGTCTGGAGCGTGTCTGGCAGGGGCTTGCAGCTTCTCTATTCCAAGCCTCAGGCAATAATGTCCTGGGTGACAAGTTTTTGTGTTGAAGCACAGAATATCCATCGGATTTATGCAACTCACAATGCTCATGTGCTGACTTCAAAATCCATGAAGTATAGATAGCATTGAGATCTTTTCCTCCAAAAGAAAGGGTTATTCTTCTTCTTTTAGAAGATGGTTGGAGCCCCAGACAATATACAATGTTTTGAAGTCTAAGCTTTAATTAGAGAGAGAAAGAAATGTATCGTCTTTTGTTAAAGGGAAGGTTGCATTGAATGCGTGACAATGAAGCTGCTTCCAGGACAACCACCAGAGCTGTTCCTGCAAGGAGCTCTGGAGAAGGAAAATAAAGAGCTTGCTCTTCACAAGCAGGGGCTTTTTGCCATCTTTGCACTTTTGTGAGTCATCTGCTACTGATTTCAGTAGGAAACAGAAACCTTTAATGTAAATAATACTTCGCATTGAGTTTTATCAAGGGCAACGTCCAATGCTAAACCCAAAGTTAGTCAACTCTTTAATATTAACAATACCAAGGAGAGGAAGAGGTGTTCATGGGGAAATTTATGGGACTATTGTCAAATGAATAAAATATTATAACACATGAAAGATGAGAGGCCTTTGGAGCAGAGCTGGTTTAGTTCTCACAGTGCTGCTGCAACGAGTTAAAGCAGCTACTCGCTCATTTAATACAGTCCCATACAACAATATGCCAGTCAAAGCATCGCACCTTGCATCTGAGAGCTCCCTGTCCAGCACAGTGAGAGAACAGTGTAAACAGCAAATTCAGTCTTCTTCCTTGACACAGGGCAAACAGCAAGCAAACCCTAAAACATGGGCAAACAATCCCAGAAAGCAGTGCAATTAGCTTTGTACCAGGACACCTGAACACAAATAAAGAAAAGTGCAAGCATGTTTCCCTCTCTCGCAAAAAGAAAATGCAAGATCTGGCCAAGTCCATCCCTGGTGTGCTGATACACAAGGATGAAATGATTTCCTGGGGGAAAAAAAATGTAAACAAGCTAAAGAAATTACAAAATCTTATATTCAAAACAAACACCATAAGTCTTCTTGCCTATGGACTTCAAAGAATAGATTTTCAGAGGCTGGTGTATTAAAGAACGAATAACATTATTGGTGCAACTCAAAAAAAAAAAAATGTATTTAAAAAATACTGTAATAAGGGCTCGGCAAAGGACCAGTTAGGAAACACTGCCTCATGGGGATCTGATTTTTCATGAAATTATAAAGATGTGCATAAAACAGAAGCTTAGCATGTGTGTGTAGTATTGTGTGGAACCAAGCACCAGTAAAAAACATTTCTGTGGTATCCATTTACTGATGGAAAGAATGAGAACTGACAATATGGATGCTTAAAAATAAGATTAACCTGAACCTGGTTAAAATTACTTTTCCATTTCTTCCTAGGAGTTTACTGGTTCTCCCTCTTCATCCAACAAGCCAGACCACTGCAAATGAATGCACCCCAGAAGGTACAAGGATGCTGTCGTTCTTAAGTGAGGTACAAGAATTTACTTAACATAAGGGCTCTGTTTTTCAGACTTGGCCACTCAACTTCAGAGCAAACATTTTTGAAAGCGATGGTTCAGATTGGCATTTGTTGATTTATAATGCAAATGGGAGCTTCTAATGGCTGCTGTGATAAGCTCGGGACAGGGCTGGGTGTCCCAGGATGCAACTGGGACCTGGTATCAAACCAGTGTTACTAAAACTACTGTTTCTTACACAGCGCCATATCCCTCTGTTCCTGTCTGCTCAGCAGTTTGTTCAGCACAGAAGCTCCTGTGGTTAGGCAGTCCTTGAACCCAGAGCAAGGAGCTGGAGCTGAGGGTACATCCAGCAGAGCTAAACTGGGACATGGACTGAATCCTGCTGACAAAGCAGCATGTATTGCTCTGCCTGGTGGAGAGAGAACATCACCATCTCAGTCTCAGCATCCTCAGGATTGTTTAATTCTCACATTTTAATTTCACTATTATTCACACTATACCTCTGAACGTTGTAATCATTTACCAAAAAAAATAAAAAAATAGATCAAGCCCATCATACACAAACAGAATATTTCAGCATGTTATCCCCCTTTGCCAGTTAGTGCATCACATGCTTTGATTTCCCTGACTTAAGGATCATCCAATTTGCTACAATGCTGCACAAAATAAATCACTAACCTCTTAAAACAACAAAAGAGGGACATTTAATGAGTCAAAGACAATACTGTATTACCAAAGCAAAGATTAAAGGAATTGAATTGTTCCTTTAAAATAAAATTCAAAAAGCTTTACAGAGCCTGAGAAAGAAAAAAAAAAAAAGCCACACAAAGAAAATATAATTACTCCAACCACAGACAGAAATACAAATTTTATTGGTAGAAAACATAGCAGGGCTTTTTGAGAGAACACCACTGAATGAAAGCAAGAGAAGCAAAAGCTGGATGAAAGGAAGAAAAGATGAGACAGATGAAAGAAAAGATGAGAGCTGGGTGAGAAAACAGGAGGGTCATTTCCTTTATCTAGACTTGCTAACTTCACTGTTCAGAAACAAAAACAGTGACTGTTCTTCACAAAATTGTCTCCAAGGACTCTGTAGCCCATTTGGTGATTTTTTTTAAAAATAGTTTGAAGAAAAGAAAACCTATATTCTTTAATGTCACTCAGCAGTAGTCCTGCAGCTGGGGATTTTTGTTCATACAATGGTTTGAATTTTTTTCTGCTCTAGTTATTTCATTACAACCATAGGATTTATTACATGGTAATTCCCTGAGCTCTTATAAATCTATTTGTTGTGTGGGCTTTTTTTGTTTGTTGGTTTTTTTTTTTTCCTGATTCCAGTCTGGCAACAAATTTTCCACATAAAATTTAATCTATTGTATCTCACTTTTGTATAATCAGATCATTAAAATGCATTGCTAATATGTAAATCTGAGCTAACCTCATTACCATAATTATGCTCTGTAATTATTGAATAAACAAGCATTTTAGAGTTTCTGAAGTCTGCTGAGAATGCGTTTTGAGTTTGGGAGTGGCTTTAATTATGTGCTCCCTAATCATTATGATAAACCTTTCTGGCAATCCTGCTATGTGACTGTTTTAAAAGCTGCTCCTAATCTGATTGGCAAGGATCAAAGGTTCATGTGCTGGGAGCACATCAGACAGCATCCTTCAGTCACAGCCTGGCTGCCATACTCCACATGAATTACTGTTATTGTTTAATTTATAGACAGCACTTTGCTCACAAGCCTCCATGTACTTTAAGGAATTATAATCAGTGAGTCAAATTTTGCCTTTCCCTCTGGAAGGAGAATTAGTGAGCAAACATCTCTGTGCGTGACATAAGTTTATTGAATGCAAAGTATTCTGCAATAACATCCTCACCATAGGTTTTACACCTGCACTGTATAGATGCCTGATGAAACAGCTTTTAAATGTTCTCACTACTGAGTATTTTTTCTCTATTTTTTTCCCTTTTTGTGTGTGTGATTTTTTTTTAATATATATCCCTAAATGAGGCACAGGGTAAACATCAGATCCCCAGCCAAAACAAGTAGCTCCACTGAAGCTAATAAACCTTTGCCAATGTACAGAAGATTCAGCCCATTACCTTTAGAAAGCATCATGAGCAGAGCCCTGCTGGTTTCTTCAATCCTGTTTCATCTTTAATAAGAAGCACAGAGTTCTGTGACTGCCATTGTCAGAGGATGCCATCTCGTCTTGACCTAAGCAGAAAATGGAAACTTACTGCCTTTGCAGACCCCAAGAAAAAAATATCCACCATCTGTGGAGGATATAACCTTTGAACAAATGACTCATAAATGATCAATAAGGTCTTGGCAATGTTTGGGCGTCCTTGGTCCAGAGGGCTATAAACAAAACCACTCATGATATTGAGCTTTTCTCCTTTTACATGAGATTTTGTGTAGGAGACTTAATTAAAGTTTGTCAAAGTGTAAAAAGGTCAATAAGATTGATCCATACAAATTTTCAGAGTGAAAATGAAAAAAAAACAAAATGTGTTTGATCTATATATTAGAAAAACCAAACATAAAAAAACCTAGTAGGCATACTAACTAATCAGTTTTCCTCTATGCTAGCAGGTTAACAACTCCATAGTTCCCTGAAGGGCAACAGAAAACATAACACACATGTATGGGCAAGGGTCTTTAAACTCAAAAAAATATATATTATTTTAACCGTTATTGTAGAGTCTCAAGGCTGTTTTGGTGTCATTTGATTTTCTTATAACAAACAAGAGACTCAAAATTCCCCATCTCTCACAGAGGGCAGCCCTCTTTTTCTAGTCCTTTGTAATAAAGTCCCTCAACAGCCTGGCCTCTACATATTCAGTCCCTCATGTCTCCTTCCCTGGACAGTGAACTAGAAAGGAAGCTCAAATTAGATTCAGGCAGTGATGAACATTACCTTTTTGGTGAGCTGAAGCTTGTCAAGCTCTCTTATCCTTTAGATGAGCATCACATTACCTGACCATGGGACAAAGATTTGATGTGAAATTACACTTCACTATGCATTTATAGGACAGACAGACTGTTTTATCTTAGATGGGGGAAGAAAGATCAGACCTTTGTAGAAAAGAGAAGAGGATTATTCATGTTCCCTGACAATAGCGTCACCTCATAGGCAAAGACCAGCACTTCTCTATGGACGGATTTTGTGCCCTTCTGCACAACCTTTTTTTGAGAGCACTGGGAAGAAAAGTGACAGGAGTAAACATCAGTGAAATAAATCATTTGCTCTTAAGGAGTTCAAAATGTAGAATAGGAAAAAATCCAGGTGACTGGAGAAACACATATTCAGGGAAACATTTTAACCTGGAAATTAGCCACAAGAAGCTGGTTTGGATATATTACACTCAAGTTACATTTAAATCCCTATTGATCCCACTAAATCTTGAGTCCATCCTTTCCATACAGAGGAATTTCTAGTGCAGAAAAACCAGCAGAAGGAAAGATAAGATCAGTGCTTTGTTCAGTAGGAAAATCTCAGCACAATGCCAGCCTCAGAGCCCACACCAAGAATGACACTGAATAATAAAATAATACTTTTCATTACCGTAGGGCCTTCCAGCAGAAAATCAGGAAGTGCTTTCAGATATCCATTTATTAAACTTCAGTAATGAAATGATAGTTGCGTGCACATCTTCTGGATTTAAACAAACTAACTAAAAAAGCTACACAAAGATCTGTGCCTATATATCTTGGGCGGGGGGAAGCAAAATTGCAGTAAATTCAGGTCTTTCTTACAAGACTATTCATAGTTCCCCATATATATATATATATATATTTATTACTATTATTATTCCCTTCCCCCCCCCCCCCGCAACCTGCATCTTTGGTTCCCACTTGCATTGCAGTGCAGCTTTCACAGCCTGGACTGGTACCTCTGTTCCCAGGTGAGAGGCAAGCTTGACCCCACTCTTTCCTCCTGCCACCTCCCTGAGCCCATCACCCCCTGAGCAGCCCAGACAATTTCCGTGGTGATACACAGCTTTAAAAAGAAAGCAGAAACCCCAGGATGCAAGCAACCCAAGCCTGCCGGGGCACAACCATACCCTGAAAGCCAGTATCAGCACAGGTGACTCAAAATAGCATCTCTGTTAGCAAGCTCTTCTGCCTGCTCGCCTGCAGAGGTTCACAGTGCTGTGCTGCACACTGCTGAGAGTGGAGAAGGAAACTGAGGTGCAAGGAAGAGGAGCAGAGGGAGAGAAGGGCCTGGTCTCCTTTGGGATTGGGGGCTCAGGTCCATGCAGAGCTGCCTCACTATCTGGGGAGGCTTTGCTGGAAGAAGTGCAGAAATCAGGTTAATTGTCAAGATGATGTTCGTTTTGGCCTGAGACATTGCAGTCCCCAGATCCACTCCTTTCTTATGGCAAAGGAAACAGTGAACAGCAGCCGAGGGACAGGGAGAGGTGACCAGCAGGGGAAGGGAGCCTCCCATACCAGCTCTGCCAGAGAACAAAACATACGTGGACCCTCCGGAAAGGATTAGAAAATAAACCTTATTGCATCAGTGTTTCATTATAGCAACAGATCCATACATTTTAGGGTCCAATTTCACAGGAAAACTGGATTAAGCCTGCAAGGATGCTGGGAAGGGCTGTCCCTGCTCTCATGCCCGTGTCCCAGCCTGCATCACAAGATGATTGGGCTGAGTTTTAATCTTTTTTTTTTTTTTTTTTCCCACCCTGTTTGCTTGCTGTTATGGTGTTACTGTTATGGTGTTACATTTCAGCTGGACGAGCAAGGCTGGCAGCCCTGCAGCTGGTAGTCCCAGGGCCAGCAAGGTGGCAGGAACCATTGACTGTGGTGCCATTGACAAGGCCACCTGAGCTGGCCAGCAGGATGGGGCCCTGCAAAAGAGCTTCTCCATGCTGGGGCACTGAGCTGTTTGCTCCTCCTCTGCTGATGGTGCTCGCAGGTCCACACTCATCTCTGAAATGCTGTCCCTGAGTCACAACCAGTCTGCACATTTGAGAGTTTTGCTGCCACAGATAAGCAGCAGACATGCCAGCAAATACTGTCATCCCACATGCTTCGTATTCTTATGAGAAAAAACTGTGCTGAGTCCTCAGTAAATACAGCTATGTCCTCAGACTGCAGGGGCTGTGGTCACTAGGTATACCCAGCCACCAAAGCAAGATGGGGTGTTCCTGTACCTCTTCCAGCCAGTTTGCACTGCCAGAATTGCAAAGAGGTCTGCCTGTATTCTTTGGTGAGATGCACAGAGAGCGACCTTCCCACTGTCCTGGAGATTATTGCAAGGTGATGCTCAGAGCCTCAGATGCAGATTCAAGTTCACTGTTTCACTGGCAATCTCTTTCAGCTGGCTACAGAAAAAAAGATGCAGAAGAATTAAGAGTGAAACAACCCTTCTGCCCCAGATTCCCCCACCTTCTTCCTCTGTACATTTCCTCAGCAGTTTCTCAGTGCAGAAGAGCTGTTACCGCACTCGCACATGCTTGTGACACTTGGCTTCAAAGGAAGAACTGCAAACCCCTCTCCCTGAAGCAACACTAAAACAGTTAATTACACTAAGCTAGTTAATAGCTTTTCATCATCAAGGGCTGGTTCTTCCACATATACAGGGACAGAATCCATTTATTTTTTATGTATATCCTTTTATTTATCTTGCTCCTACCAGCTGTATGATAATTTATTCTCTGTCACTGTTCTTAACTCATGAGTTCATTTAAAGTGTGATAGCAGTGGAAATGTATTAACAGTTTCCAGAGAATAAAATCTTTCTGAAAATGGAATCCAGCACTTTACTTTTACAAATACAGAATTTACACATTTGCACTTAGCTTAATTAATTAAATCCATACGGGAATTACTCAAGCAGCACTGTATGGCACAATATATATGCCGATACCTAATTATCATCAATTCAGGCAGAACAAAGCAGCCAGAAAACTGCCTTCATGCAAGAGGTATGCTGGGATCAGCCGAGAAGTGAGTAGAGCAGTCCCAATCCAACAGCTCCTGTGTTGAGGTTTCTGGGATGTGGTTTCTCAGGCTAAGGCTGTGTTGTAGCCAGAAGGAAAGGCCCCTGCCTTCTTTCCATCCAACCCTGCACGCACATCCCATCTGCTCTACTTTGCTCGTTTTGTTTATTGATCCCACTGAAAAGTGAACAAGTTTGGGAAAGGCTGGCAGTTGAAGGAAGGCTGAGGTCGTTTGGGCAAAGCCTGAGCAGCCCACGTACCTGCTCCCTCAGAAAATCCTGGTTGCTTTAAGCCCCAAGTTTCTGGGATATCAGAAAAATATCTGTGAGCCTTTGCCCTCTGGAGTCATGGTACCTCAACGTGCTGTGGCCAGGTAAGGAGGAGAGGCCCTGAAGAGCAACAGACTCCTCAGTGCCCCAACCCCAGGAATCCCTTTCCGTGGAGATGCTGAGCCTGGCAGAGTTTCCCTCAGCTCTCGGAGCATTCAGCTCAAACCAGAGCAAACCAGCAGAAAACCTTCAGACAAACCAGCAGAAAACTCTGTTGAACCGAAGAGCTGCCAGCCTCAAGAGAGGCAGTGGCCAGGCTGCAAGCAAGCCTCTGGTACCAGTAAGTGAAAGGAAACTGAAGTGGGGAAAAGATAGGAAAAGATGCACACATCCACAATCCATCGCAACAATCATTATTATTGATTTCACTGCTGTCTTTTAGGGATGCATCTATTACAGGAACCAATACTTAATGAAATTAGAAAGAAACACACACACTTTCCCATAAGGACGCTGGAGACAATTGCCCATCACTGTTCATTTGTTGTAACTCTCTAGATTCAACCACTATCTGGAAATTCCATTTCGATATCGACACCCCTCTTAGGCAAACATGAAGTAACATAAATAAATAAATAAACAAAAAGTGAATTCTATGAAATTCTCTTCCTCATCAGACTAGATGAGTTTGAACTGGCAGCACCTGCTGGAAACATTCTGCTCCCAACAAGAAGCATTTGTTGCATAGCTACTAATATGCAGTAGTCAATACCCTGGAGGAAAAATGGGTGCCATGCACAAAGTAACAAACATCTCAGTCTTCACATTCACTGTTAATTTTGTAAAACACTTAAAGATCAAATATTTCTCAGTTTTAAAATGGTAGTTCTGTTAATGAGACTGCTTTAGCTCAAGTTTTCTTATTGATATGTTTAAGTAAAAGAGATACAAAACACAAAATTTCTCATACAGGCCTTAAAGGTATTTATTTTTTTTTTTGTGAAAAACATATTTTAGATGGTTTTCCTCAGGTCTCAAATGTGGCTGTAAAGAAAAATATTGTCCAAACTTGCATTTTTTCTTGTTACTCTTAGATTAACGTGAAACACAGGCAGCTGTTCCTTCCCAGGCAATGTCAGTGGAGTTCATTACCAGCCTTCTAGGGCTCTAAGTCACCTGCCATGACTCTGACTCCGAAAGAAGCTATCGTGTACAACCTGGTCTTTTCCACAAAGGCTTTTAGCTACATCTCACTCAAAGCACACCTTACATACTTTAGATGAAACAACATTTTCAGCCTCAGCTATTACACAGTTAAACAACATACCTGCCCTCAGAAACACTGGAGAGCTTTTTTAGATCAGCTGCATGTACCAGATAGAAGACCAAAATGCAAAAGCATTTTATTTGATTTACTCCAAGATCAAGATCCCGGGGCTTTTCAGGTTAAAGAGGTGATTTCTGAAGTTCTGTTTGTATATAATAGAAAATTGCTGCACTTCAGTGTAATTCTTGCTTCTCCAAAATACAATGTCAGTAAAGCAGGGCTGGTACTAACATGAAAGTCAGGCAGTAGCACAGACCCATCAAGCACTACCGTATACATCAGTTTAAATACCATTATGGAAAACCTCTAAGGAATTTTATAAAAGATAATAGGCTTTTTAAAAACGATGTTTTAGAGCAAGAATATTTTTCTATTAACTAGTACTACACGGTTCAAAAATTTCAGAGCAATCTCAGTCTGTTAAATTCCATCTGCTTCCAGAATCACTTCCATAAAATGCTTTTCAGACCTAGCGTCATCCAAACACTTACTCAAGTAACTAACTTTAAACATTTGCCTTG